TTAAAAGAGTATGATAAAAAGCACGGTTTTGAAAAAACTTGAGTTTTGTTTTAGCAAAATTTGGTACAAGTGATCATCGGGAAGAGTTAGTGAATTGTGTCGTTAATACTATGTTTATGAGAGACATAAACATTTTAGAAAAAAAAACACCTCACAATAAGAAAAAAACTTTTTAACAAATTCTAAAATAGTCTACATAAATGAACAAAGATGAAAAAAAAAAGTAACTATGATACACTATTATAGCTCATGCTAGGCAAAAAGATAAAAATTATATAATAATTGCAACTAATTACTATATCTCGATTGTAAACCTTCAGTTTAGCTTTGGGACTCGTTTTAGACACTGACTCGACTCAGGTATCTTCTAAACGGGGGTGGCGATCTCTTTCATGTACCATAGCACCGTATCGATAAACAAAACAAACACGTGGTTGTATTCTACTGAGTCGTCCAAAGTAAGTAGGTGTAAACAATGTCGATCTTTTGGAAGAGATAAGCTAAAATGCCCACTTTTTTGTCGAAATTTTTGGTGAGAGCGACAAAAAGCGAAAACACAGAGAAGACCACTAGTATATATTCAAATGAGTATGAGTTCTAAAGACATCAACAGATATTCTACAAGTTTGCACAATACTAAGTTTTTTCAGTAAATGATAAGCTCTGGGCTTGTTAGCAGATAGGTATAAGAACTATTTCTAAATGACAAGTGCCGTGCTGCCATAAGTGATAAACTCTAAGCTTGTCGACAAGTAGTATATAAAAACTATTTTTAAATGACAAATGCGGTTCTTCTTACACTCTTTTCCTATATCTTATATTTTTTTTGCAGTACATTACTGTTTTTTAGTCAAAAAGTTTTTCAGAAAAATATGGTCTAGGTGATCATCAGCATGAAGGTAGAATTAGATAGTAAAATTTTGTAGATTGTAATATTTTATATAATTTTATTAATAAAATTATGTAAAATATTACAATCTACAAAATTTTACTATCTAATTCTATCTTTATGCTTTAAATAAACTTGTTTTATGTATAAAGATACATTATATTGGCATACATTTATCTTATAGTTTAAACTTTTAAGAGAAAAGATGTTTAATTTTGAATTTTTGATCAAATTTTCAAAATTAAGTATCTTTTCTCTTAAAATTTAAAATTATATATTAATATAGTGTATTTTTATGCGTAGAACAAGTTTACTTATAGTATAAAGGTAGATTTAATTAATAGAATTTTGTGGATTATAATATTTTACATAATTTTATTAATAAAATTATAGAAAATATTACAATTCACAAAATTTTACTATTTAATTCTACCTTTATATTCTAAGTAAACTTGTTCTACACATAAAGATACATTATATTAACAATTAGTATATATTTACCTTATAAGAGAAAAATGCTTAAATTTGAATTTTTGATTAAAATTTCAAAATTAAGCATTTTTCTCTTAAAATTTTTTTTTTTTAACAATTTGGCAGTCATGCCTTTACTTTATTAGGCTTTGTAATAATCAATCTAGACTATTAAAATTTTAGAGAGACTTATTGGCAGGGATGTAAAATTACCGTAATTTATAAAATTTTTTGGTAAGTTACCAAAATAGTAAGTTACCGGTAAGTTACCAATAAGTTACTATGAAATAACTTTTGTGTGATTGGATAATCACGTGACAAAATAACTCATTATGATTGGTCGAATATTCTAGTAACCAATCAAAATATAGAATTAATAATGTATTACACACATGTAAATTATTCTCGGGATCTAAAACTTATTATACATAACGAATATTATTGAAGAGTTTACTCAATAAACCGTTTCGAAAAGTAATAACTTTCTATTAAGGTGAGAATATTTAAAATCATAAATCCGACTTAAATCAAAATTTATTTAATTCAAAACTAGTTTCATACTTTAATCAAATCCACATGTCATAATATAGGTGTAGATATTTAAACTATAAAACTATTTTAAAAATTAAATTTTGCGTTAATTAAAAGCTAGTATTAGTAAGGTAATTAATAGAAACAAATTAACTTACAGAGCTAATTTCTTTTTTGCCAATTTCTTTAACATCCGATAATCTATTTAATGGAATCTATTCAATTACACCTCATATTTAAAATTCTAATAAACCTTTATGTTAAAATTATCTCATACTATTATTAACATTCTTGCTTATCCTTGTACATTATATCAAGATTTCATGTTGTGCATTATGCTTTATATGTATTTTTAATATGAAAAATCTATTAGCGATCCTGAGTAGCTAAACAATAACAGATAAATTGTGTTATAGAGAATATCTAGAGAATATATAGCTAGATAACGAATGCTAGAGAGAGGGGTATTTGTATAGACCTCATTATTTGTAGATGTCCTCAAATTAGTTGCAAACCCAAGCTTTTATTAATTCAAAATGATTAATATAACTATGATTTTTCTGTACATGTTATTGCTTACTATAATAGTAGGGCGTGAATATTATTCTGTTCCATAATTAATCTATACTACTATGTTTTTTAAAGTTACAAATTCATTTTAAAACAAATTTCTATTCATTTAAATTAATCAACATGAATCTTTTTTTTAAAAAAAAGAATAGCGCAACTCTACAAACTTTTAGATAGAATTTTTATCATTATCACTATTAATTCAAAAGTAAATATTTACCTAATTTAAAAGAAGTTTCAAGCGAACACATCAAGTAGGTAGAACAAACTTCTGATATAAAAAAACTATAGTATAATTAAGAGTAAGGATATGAAAGATTTTTATTCATTTAAATTTTGAAAATCGCTACTAATATCTATACAACCATTTTCGTCATATGTAATTAACTCATTATCTGAAAATAAATCATCAAATATATTATCATCTAAATTATTTTCTTCACTATCATTATCTATTGTTAAATTTTCAACTGAATCTGTAATTTTATTTAGCTCATCTATTCGATCTAAATTTCTTAAAATTCTTAAATTCCAATAAATATAAACATATTTTTCAACTTTTGAATCATCAAGCTTGTTACGTAGATTGTTGTGTATAAAGCCAAAGGTAGACCAATTTCTTTTACTCGCGGCTGATGTAGCTGGTATTGATAATATGCGTAATGCAACTTCACTTAGTACAGAATATCTACCTTTTACTAAATTCCACCAATTAATTGGATTTTGTATAATATTAGAGTTCTACAAATGTTGTCGTGCAAAATGGCCTTTTTTAGAAATATACTCTGCATATTCGTTTAGTATATTTTCTTGATCTTCACTTGGAACTAGTCGCATTAATTCATTTTCAATAACTGAATCCTATTTATTTGGATTTAAGGTTTTGCCTTGATATCAGGATCAAGTTTATATGCTAAAATTATTGCTGGATTATAAAGAAAGTTTTTCCAACGATCTGTACCCTTATTAATTGAATTTGTTCTAAAATCTTCTGAAACTTCTGTATTTTCAGAAATAGAGATTTTTAATTTACATAATTCAGAATAAGCGATTGAAAGAGTAGGTTGATCATTTTGCAATTTTTTTAAAAAAATTGCAAATGGTAAAAGAAAATCACAAAGAGCTTTAAGATTGTGCCAAAAAATATCTGATAAAATCTCATTTTTAATTTTATCAGATATTTTAATATTGTCTTCTAATGTTAACCTCTGAATAGCAGTTTTAGTTTTTAAAAGATTCTCTGCTGCATAAAATACTGATCTCCACCGAGTTTCACCAGGAAGTAATAAAGATATATATTTGTTATAAATTTCATTTTGAAGACGATGTAAAGTAGCTAAAATTGTTTGATGATTTCAAAAATAGTTAATAATATCTTTCATTGTTTGTATAGTTTCATGTGCCCAAGCTAAACCAATAATGTCTTTTATCCAAAGATTAATCGCATGCGCCCAACAACCTAAAAAAATCTAATAAAATATAATTTATTAATATATAATAATAGCGATAATAATATTTTAATGAAATAAATTATAACAAATTTTAAATTTATACTTACTTTTTGTGAAAATTTTGTTTGCAAAACTTTCTATGCTGCTTTCATCACATTGGCGTTATCTGTAATTATTGCAACAATTTTATTTTCACCAATTTCATTAATAATATTTTCAATTCCTGCAGCTATATTAATAGCAGTATGCCATTCTTCACCAATAAACGTAGCTTTATAAAAAAAAGGACTTGGTGTTGTAATCATATAATTAATTACAGGTAATCTATGTATATTTGACTATCCATCGCTAGTAATACAAAAGTATTCTGATTCATTTAAAATAATTTCAATAAGTTGCTTGATTTTAATATATTCTTGATTTAAAAGTGAGTTTGATAAACGATATCGGGATGGAATTTTAAACCAAGGAAGACCTTTTTGAAATATAGCTTTAATATCTTCATTTTCAATAACATTAAATGAAATTCCAGCTGAATAAAAGCCTCGTGCTAATAAACTTTCTATTAGTTTTTGATCATTTTCACTATATTTATAGGTAAATCTATCTATATAAGCTTGAAATCTTTGTCGTTTTGTTTTTAAATTAGCTATTGTGTTATTATTTTGAGTAGAACTTGTAGCTTCTTCTTCAGCTAATTTTATTTGATAACTAGTACATTTTTCAAGATGAGTTTGAAGTCTTGAAGCATTTTTGACATATTTGGTTTTACAATGTTTGTACTGATATTTTTCTACTTCTTCTAAACTATCACTAACTAAATCATATTCTTCCCAAAAAATTCCTTTTTGCCGTGGCATTTTTAAATAATATAAAAATATAAAAATTTTATTGTATTTTAAATTACAATTTATATAATTTATATAATAATAATTGTTTATTATAATTTAAGCAAATTTAAAAGTAGTTAAAAGGTATCAAAAGCAAATATAATAATAAATTTAATTGATAATAACAATCATCTTCGAATATAAAAGTTTATATATTATTTAATTATTTATAAAAATAAATAAGGTTTTAATAACTAATTTATTATATCATTATAATTAAAATAAATAAATTTTAAACAAATGCAAATTAAATTTTAAAAAAATGATAATGATAAGTAGATTATTAAGCAAAGTACTATACTAAGCGATAGTAACTTGATTCAAATTAATAATTAGATAAATCATATTGCATAGTATAATTTTTAATTTATTATTTATTAAATAATTAGCAATTCAAACCTTCTTTTATTTATTTATATTAGATATAACGATAAAATAATTTGACCAATATATTATTTTAGTATTAACTATAAAAGTTAAGTATATTTTTTATTAAGATCTAATAACAACAAATTAATTTAATGAAGAATTCTAAGCGATAGTAACTTGATTCAAATTAATAATTAGATAAATTATATTGCATAGTATAATTTTTGATTTATTATTTATTAAATAATTAGCAATTCAAACTTTCTTTTATTTATTTATATTAGATATAACAATAAAATAATATATTATTTTAGTAATTAACTATAAAAGTTTATATTTTTTATTAAGCTCTAATAACAACAAATTAATTTAATGAAGAATTCTAAGCGATAGTAACTTGATTCAAATTAATAATTAAATAAATTATGTTGCATAGTATAATTTTTGATTTATTATTTATAAAATAATTAGCAATTCAAACCTTCTTTTATTTATTTATATTAGATATAACGATAAAATAATTTGACAATATATTATTTTAGTAATTACCTATAAAAGTTAAGTATATTTTTTATTAAGATCTAATAACAACAAATTAATTTAATGAAGAATTTTTTTATTAAATCATTAAAATAATATATTCGTTAAATTGTTTTAAAAAAAAAATCTTTCTAAAAATAAATATTAAATAATTTGTACATATAACTGGTAACTTAATATCAAAACTTATAGTAACTTACCGGTAACTTACCATGGTAAGTTACCACTAACAACCCTGGTTGCAGTGTCTTGAGTTAATCCATATACTTTAAGATTGTTATCTTTTAATTGTGTGAAACCTTTAGTCTTATAAATATAAATATAAATGTATGTAGTATTAAAGCGAATATAACAAATTAATTTTAACTTACTCTATCTAAAAAATCTAATGAATTTTGTGAACCATGTAATATTTTAAGTATCACTTTACATGATGATATATACGTTTCTTACATATCGTTCACCATCTAACCAGGTTGCTAGAAATTTATCACCCATCTTTTGAATATTATCTAATCTAGTAAAAAGAATATATTCGATTATATCTTTGTAGTTTCTTTAATACAATTATCAACATCCTTATTTCCACTCGTTTATCCATGTGTTGCTTTCTGATAATCACATGTTTGACACCAAGCTGGTGATGTGTTATATCGGCTACAATTTGCATTACTTCAGTATCTTTTAGAACAAAACTCAACATATACTCATTTTTTACTGTGTCAAGAGTTAATCAATATACTTTAAATCTACTATTCTTCAACAGTATAGAATCTATATACCAGGCAAACAATTTAGAATCTATCCATTTTAATGTGATAGCCGGAAGTTCCAGGAGCAAATTTATACTTCATTTCAATGAAACTATTAAAAGTTATTTGTTTAGTTGATATCTCTGATATGGTACCTCTATACGTTGTCGACTATAATACTTGGGCCTTAAAAATTTCTAGAGAGACCTAAAGCATAATATCCTATAAATACCACATGAATTATCTTTGCTATACTTTTAGACAATTCAAATCTGAGATGTAAGACTTAATGTCTTAACATTGTAAGATATTATTACCGTGAAAGTCTATATGAATATATGGGGTTGAGTCAATAGAAATCAAGCAAATATTTTTTAATAAGTTTTTTTAAAACTTTAAACAAGGATAACTTAACAAAAACTTAATCAAATTTAATAAAAATTTTTTTAAATTAATTCTACAAGTTTGTAAAAATTATTTTATTAAATTTTGTCAAGTTTTTGTTAAATTATTTTTGTTTAAGGTTAAGAAAAAATTTTATTATAAAAAATTTGCTTGATTCACCCCATATCCTGAATTAAAAATGTTATCTAACTCTTCTGAATCAAGAAGTAGTTTTAAAAAACTATGAAATACCATCATAAATCCATTAGTTTTCATGCTTTGAGTTAATTCACATACTTTGGGCCTACTACCAAGTTAATACACATTTTCATGACTTTTTTACTTAAAAAATTATAAACACTTTTTAAAGCCTGACGAAGATACAACAAACAATACGGATAAATCAACTATCAGATATGTGAGAGATTGATTCCTAAGTTGTAAAAAGATATTGAGAATGAGGTATTGAATTTAGATATTTGTGAGGCACTATTATTGATAGAAAAAAATATGATTACATCAAAAATAATTACCCATCTTTGAAAAAGTTTGAAAGAGCACATATTAGCGTTCTTTACCCATAGAAATGAGACGAAAACGTAAAATTTAAAACTTTTTTTTTATTAACAGGTATATTGTATGAGGGTGTATAATACATATATATATTTTTAATTTATATAGTATGACAGAATTGGTAATGGACAATGCAACAATAAAACATATAGTGGTATTTGATCCATATATTGCATTCTTGTATCTATATATAAAAGTCCCACTCTAACTCTAATACTCTAATTTACTCATTTTCCACTCGCATTCTTTCCAAGTATCCCAGTTAACTATTAACACTTTATCTGCAACCAATTTTTCTTGAACTTGTACTTGCTGATTATAGGTTTCTAACACATCTTTTGGTACCGCCTCTTCTTCCACCTACATAGTCTCACTACTTTCGTTACTGACCAAGAATTCACTATAACGATAGTTGTGAATATACACCACTGGGAATTCTTAAATATCCAAAGCAGCCTCTACATATAAATTAGATTCCTTACGTGAACATTTTCTAGTATGGTTTTTTAAAGTTCTTTTTAAAGCAAAGTACCGATTATAGTAAGAACAAATGTATTCATTGATCGATTTATTGACAGTTGGGCAATACCAATCAAAAGGAAGGTATCGTAGATTCATATTTGGAGAAGTTAGTTTTTTTTCCATTAATACAGATAAAAGAAAAGAGCTAAAGTGAGTTGTATCGTCAAATTCATTTATCTTTGCTATGCAAATATTATAGGGCGTTTGCTGAACTACAAGTGGCAGAGGAAAAAACCGATTTGGGAGAATTTGCCTGATCCCACTACAAAAAGGCTTATAGCAACTTGGATCATCACACTTCATGACTTGGGTAACATAATGACAAGTCATTACATGTTTTTCAATCCAAGTTGCTGACTTTTCACTTGGGCTATAATGTTCATTAGGAGGATTTATATACTTAACAAGAACTGGGTAGTTATTTATAATTGTATCTTCTCATATTGATGTTAAAATATCTGCAGCTGCTTTAAAATTACGCTTTTTTAACTCTTCATCATTTGTTTTTAGCTGTGTATCTAAATATGATCCAAATGTATCATGCAGAAGTATGACGCCAGCTAAGTCATGACTTAAAGGCACCATTCGCCTTTTGACCGGATTAAATGCACTCTGGTGTAGTACAAAGCATACCACAATTATGGTATCAAGATTATATTTATCAAAATATTCGATCATCATTTGAATTGTTTTTCTATATCTAGAGTTCTCGTCGAGACCACCGTCACTTATCAGCACTACTACAGGTTTAGGCTGTTCGTTTGTTGTAGTGTAGTTACGCAATTTCTCCTCATTTATCAAGTCATCAAAATCTTTATCATGAGAATAAGCGGTACTGCTATCGTGTTTACTACTATGGATCCTTATAAATGTTGGACCCAAATATGTTACTGCTTCAGCTTGCCCATACTTACCCTCTTGTATATCCAATATTGCATAGACTGAAGAAATCAGTTTATATCTTTCAGCAACAACCCAATCGTGATCCGGCAGTTCTACTCGGTATTCCAGCCTCATAAGAATTGGTGCTATATGATTTAATTAATTATGAAGTTTTATCTTTTTATTTATTATATTTTAAATAATAATTCTATTTTATTTTAATTTATAACAACCTTGTTTGTTGGCCGCAGCTAAACCAAGAGGTATTCACACTTTATCATCTTGAGAGATTACTAAAGCACTCTTGGGACCCAATAATGATAACATTTCTTTTATATTTCTTATCAAAGCAGCGCAGAAATGAGTATCTTCATGACTTCTTCTTGCTGTGTTTTGCGACCTTAGAAGCTTTACTGGCACAGTTTTAACATGTCGCTTTCCTTCTTCAGTATTATACCATTTTGGAATGAGCCTAAGATATGCCACAGAACGTGACAGGTTATAGTTCATATGTGTTAATGCTTCTTGGAGCTGATCTAAAGTCTTAACAGACCGTATGATTTCTGAATGCCGTCTTTCATCAGCCTGCCTATCCAGAGAAACAATTTGAACAATAGCTTCTAATAAACCTGGCTGTTGTTCTTCTAAACTTGGGCGACCAGTTGGCCTAACAAGCTGCGTATTGAGACCTGCTTCTTTAAGCTGTCTTTCTATTAGCTGAAGCTTCTGTTTTTTCTGGTCTCTATACTTTTGCTAAGACTGTTTGTGATATTCTAATTTATGCAAAGCTTTTGATGATAATCTAATTTTATATTGAATCTTTTCTTTTCTTTCTTTATTAATATTAGTGATCATCCCTCTTTGGTCTAATATACTAAGTTGCTGCAACTCCTCAGTTAGTTGAGCAATTGTATTTTTGAGCTTGGACTGAGCTGGTGCTTTCCGACTTTTACTCATTTGGTCTGTAAGTGCAAAGTTAATTGATGATGAATTAAGGTGAGAATCTTTACAAAATAGTT